ATGTCATACATAATGTTACATCTAATGTCAAACCTACAGACAAGATGGCCGCCTAGTTTTAACGTCAGTGTGTTCAAGTGTGGACTATTTTTATTCCCTAATTTCTGTGGGTGGTCTAAGTGACTAGACAAGTTGACATTCAATTAGTGGAGATGTTCAGTGTTTGTAGAGTTAACACCCCTGGCTTGTCTACCAGGCTTTCTACGACTTTGGTTTTTAGCTGATCTATCAATGGAAGTAAGATTTGTCATTGATGGTAGTGCTTATTAGTTGAAGTTAAGGCTGGTAATATTGAAACCTGCGTTACTCATCAAACAGATGACCCACTGGTGGACCCTTCGGGGTCTAAGTTTGTGTACAAACTCTAACTCTCTTTGTAATCTTGTTTTATATAAACTATGTATCATTGTTAAAAAGTAAACAGTTTAGATTTGTTGATGATCCCGTTCAGGATGAGGACCTCACAGTCACTGACGTAAATCTGACCCTTACGGCACAGAGGTAATAGAGTGTAGTGTACATTGGAAGGAAAATTTAAGAATAATTGAACTACAAATGAACAAACAATTAACTCTGACGAGTCCATTAATGAACAATGTTTAAACACTTCGTATTATTAATAAAAGTTAGGACATATTTAAAAAATAATTACATTCTAGATTGAAGTAATTTAGTTTTGAATTTTTTAAACTTACAACACGCTTAGCAAACATAAACTTATAAGCTTAATAGATATTTTGTATTGTAAACCACATCTTATAATCACTTGATGGTTTGTAAACAATGTCCGTACAACTAACGATTGGAACCCTAGTAACATGTCAATTGTATTATCATTTGAACACAAAGGTCGTGTGTGCATATTTGCCAAATATGCACAAGGTCATGCTACAATTTTGAGGAAAGCAATATTTATTCGTTTGTATGTATCACTAAAATTTTTGTAATGCCCATATAAAAGGAGAGGCCATCCATCTTTACATTGCTATCATTTTATTGAGTTATCTCTCTTTTTCCATAACGTTTATTATTGGAGATTTTGCCTGATGGGTGAATAACTAGCACTAGCTTGATTCATTTGTGTACTGTGTAGATCTATCTGTACAAAATATGTGGGGAAACTTGATACGCTATGAATATTTAAAAAAAAATTAAGTTAATAAATTTGTGCCGTTTTCAGCATTGAAGAAATAAATTATTTAATTCTTCTGTTTCTAGTACGAAATATTATTAATATGGAGAGAGGGGACGGCGTAAAAGTCACCTCTATGACGATGGAGAAACTGGATAGATATTTGAAATAAAGAAATTAAAGAAATACACACAGTATAGTGTTTACACCGAATGAAAATGTATTAATTATTTTTAATCAATCGTGCTATTAATTTAGAATATATATATTGGCCTCCTTCAGTCGTACAACGACTATGGTTCATCTCGAACACTTTTTCATATGTCTGTGGACCCCTATTCCGGAGAGACACTCCCGTCCACATATACTGCAAGTCAAGGTGGCTTTCGCTTTGGTGGTAGAGGAGCTGGCCATTTTCCGTGTGGCACGCTTTTCTTCAAGAGATGAGGCCCGTGTTTTTCCACTGTCCATAGCTTTCTTGGTCATCGTCTCTCTCCAACTAGTGCGGTCTAAGGCTATGTCTTCCCAGTGGTCAGTATCAATGTTCACTGATTTTAAATCCCTTTTTATCACATCAACGTAACGGAGGTGGGGTTGACCAGTTTTTGTTGAGCCAGAAGCAAGTTGCCGTACAGAATGATTTTCGGGATGCGATTGTCCTCCATCCAGCGGAAATGTCTGAGCTAGCGCAGGCGGCGTTGCCTGAGGACCGTAAAGATGCTTGGAAGGCCCGTTCTCGCGAGGATCTCAGTATTACACACTCTTTCTTTCCGTGTTATTTTCAAGATTCTTCGAAGGAAGCGCAAGTGGAATGAGTTTAGTTTTCTCTTTTGCTTTGTGTAGGTTGTCCATGACTCGCTGCCGTATAGTACCGTGCTAAGAACGCATGCCTTGTAGACCTCCTGTGGTCGCTGTGGTGAGCTTCTGGTTTTCTCAAACTCTTGGTCGGAGTACAGCAAAGGTTGATGCGGCCTTCCCTTTACGTTTTTCGATCTCCTCTTCTAGTGACAGGTCACCTTGGATTGTACAACCAAGGTAGCAGAATTCGTTTACGGCATCTAGCTAGTTATCGTCAATGAGGATGGATGTTGGTGCTACAGCGGATGGTCCCATAGCATTAGTTTTCTTTGTGCTAATGGTTAGGTCATACTCTCTGCAAGCCTTAGAGAAGCAGGACATTAGTGACTGAAGCTCCTCTTGTGAGTGTGCCACTACCGCGAAGAGCATATCTCTTATGATGGTGGTTCTGATTTTAGTTTTGGCCCTCAGTCTAACAATATTTAGAAGTTTGTTATCAAATCTGGAATGAAGATATCCCGGGCATGCTACCCTGCCTCATAGTGGCGCCCGGGTGGAAACGATCGTAAGAGGAAACGATTAGGCTAAAGGGTAGCAAAACAAGATTCCCGTGGGGGTGCCTAAGGGGGTGCGAGAGCATCCTCATTGCACTGTGCGGAGTTATAAAAAGCTCCCACAACCTTGTCACAATCCAGGCGGCGCTCCTCAAGGGGCCGTTACATAAATGGCGTGTCCTGCACTGGTTAGGCTGGTATAGAAAAGGAAAGTGGCAGGAGTCCCTGTGCACGCGGTCTCTGGCCGCAAGTCTGACACCCTGCCAGACTCATTCAGGCCGTGAAAGGGAGCTCTTGTTCACTTTTGCTGGCTTAAAGTTCCAAGAGCCGAAGGCTCAACTCTACCTGATAGTTTCAAGAAGAAGAAGAAGAAGAATGAAGATATATGCCTTCGTTGGATTTGTCAAACGCGTGGTGGATTAGCATTAAAAAGAGTATTCCAAAGAGGGTTGGGGGTCAGGACATCACCATAGACAATGCCCAGGCTTTCAATTTATAATAGATCTAGACTAACAATAATAAATTTGTGCTAGTGGAAATATTTTTATAAATTGTTTTTGTTGAGCGGAACTGACATCCTTATAGACTGTGCCGTGCAATAAGTCCCCAATCATTTGTGTGTGTGGCTCAGTATTGAGGAAGAAGGGAGGGAAGTATCTGGGAAAAGGTTTCAATTCAAACAAATTTGTTTTGAGTCTGTATTCCAACTAGAGGTCTCAAGCCACTGAGCTAAATAATTACTTAGAAAAGTAAACTTTTTTTTTGCTTAAAAACTCTAGTTTGTTTGTTTTTATCGAAAAAAAAAACCTGTTTTCTCACACACGGCTCATCTTCCATTAGCTTGGACTTATAACAAAATTATTTAATTATGACTTATTGATTAACTAATTGGTCATTTTTTGAAATACATTCATTCATGTGTTGTCATTGACAATGAATATTTCTGCAAAGTTTTAACTTGATCCGAGAATGGGAAGTCGGAGAAATAATGTATACATGATTCCACCAAAAGTGAGTTGATAGAAGCTTGTTAAAAAAAGGGCCACTAGCTAGCAGTAAAAATGTACAACGGGAAATGAAGTATTATTCTTCACATATTTACTTGGCTAGAGTGATCTCTGAATTGAGCGTCCTTTACATTACACATATAATTATTTGTTTTAAACTCTTTTCCAATCTTCCTCGTTATTCATTAATTTTTCCTTATATCAACTCCACATTCTTTTTGTCGCTTTCCCTTCTTTATTTATGCAACTGTATCTTTTTGCTTAACGATATTAGACTGGATCCTACAATGAAAATTAAAACAAACGATAGATTGCTGTGATTATCTTTAATAAAAAAAAAAGGAACATCATTTAACAAGTCCTGTAGCACTGTAATTTAAACCAGATAAAGCTCCACTATGGACGTGATCCACCCATTTCCAGCTATAGCCCAGGATATTGACCTGGGCCCCACTGCTCCCTGGACACGTACTAACATTGTATGTAAATTTGGTTATAAAGCTGTGTGAATCATCTTCCCGAATCTTGTCCATCCATCGGCCGAGTGTGATTTGCTTCGGACATCCATGAGGGTGGGATACTATAAAGGCAAGCTTGTCCTCGTCCCTTGTCCGCCTGTATTTGGTGTAGACCTTGTCTCTGAGCTCATGGCAACGCTCAATCATCGAGCACAGTTTAGCTGCCAGAATGTCATCACAGGTCACGCATCTTAGAAGGGTCCAGTCTTCTTTTTGAAATACTTGACCCAACGTGACCTTGTCCAGAATGATCTCTGGGCAGTTGTCTTCGTCGTAGAACAATCGAAAGGAGGTGTGGTCTGCCTCAGCCTCATCGTAAACGACATGCCTCGCCGTCCAAATCACTATTTCCCACCAAATGATTTTAGGCGTGGACGACCCTTGACACCTACGACACGTGCAGGAAGTGACATTGAACTCGTGCATATCTCCGTACTGACTCCGCCCATTATTGTAGCTTACAATCTCACGTATCCTTCCCGACCCCACTCTTGTGCATTTACTTCCTCTCAAATCAAAGTAAGGATAAGGGGCTTTAGAATCAGGCCAAAACTCTTGCCTCTGTGGGCTGGTCAGCTTGACATCCACTCTGACGGTCAAATCTGCTTCAGCTTTGATGACATCAAGTAGATCCTGGTCACGATGGCCATCAGGTAAATGCTGCAAGTTGAATGCTGCAACAGGTATAAAATCAACGTGTCCTGGATTCTTGGTGCAATTAGAGCGATGCTTATGGAGATCAGCTTCAGCACCTTCAGACTCCTGGAGTTCTGTGTGACCTGGGAAAAAAAGAGATTTTCTTAAGTCTGTTATTTATCAAAGTTTAAAGCTATTGTAGTGTACTTTCTGAGCAGGATTATCATACAATGTTGTAATAAGCCTTATATTTCAGTGTAAAAACGTACATGAAATAATTCTATCTAAACAATTATAACAAATACAAGAGACAATGTCACCATAAAGTAAGTCGAGCCATTGAACTGAGGATTCTTTCCCTTGGCTTGTGGCAGCATCTAAGTGTAATGAAAAGATTGTTCTTATACATGCAGTTCAAATAAAACCCATTTAAAAACAATTAAAATTAGAATACATTTGTATAACAATGTAGAAGTGGTGTGCTTGCACGCGGGACACTATCCAACGTCTAATTAATTATCTATGTATTTTCCAAACCTGTATCTTGAGATCCAGATGTCCCAATGGTTGACTCCATGTAAAACTGTGTAGCAAACATTTAAAAAAATACACGTTTTCATAGATACTACAAATCTAACCATGTACACACAATGTTTTATATACATCCCTGACTAGTAATAGACATGAACTAGTTGGTAAAACCGCTCTTAGAGTATTTAGTTACTTTGTGTTAACATAATTATACAGTGCATTGGATATTTCTCGTATCAGAGGCGGCTTTAGTGGGTAGCGAGTAAGGCAACCCATCGTACAAATATTCGTTGCCCTGATATGACACTCACCCAGGACCCCGCGCACAGCCGAGGCTGCCTCTGCTTGTATTGCTTATTATGTTTACATTATTATCTTGATCGAAGCTTTTGCCAAATAATTTAAACACAGAAGTACAAGGCACTCATTTTGCGATGTAGTTTTTTTTTTTTTATAATCAGAACACAATGGCCAGAAAGTGAACAATATTGTAAGAATATATGTCACTGTGGCATAAGGAGAATTTTCTTTCAATTATTTTTTCTAGATATAAATATTGATTTAAAACTGATTTCATCTTTGTGCCTAGACTCTTTGGTTAAACAGAAAAGAAACTGTGTACTTTTAGCAGCTCTCGTTGGGAACAGTCTCTATTGCTTTTGTCCTGTAAGTCTATCACATTTAAATCTGAAATACCAAAAAGAGATGTTTAGAGTTTAGACTGTGATATTTTCATCTCCAGTCCATTGATATCAATTGATCCTTAGAAGTATGCCACGGGCATAAGATTAAGCTTATATAACAGAAGGAACTGCAAAATCCCTGCCATATTTCTCAATACTGCAGAAATAACCTACTTTTTCTAGATCAAACAAAATTAACTAATTTTTTTTCGATTAGTGTATTTTCATCGAGTATGAATAATTATGCACAATTTCACATTGATCAGATGAAGGAAAGTGGGAATTAAAACGTGTACAATACATAATAAGGGAAATAACTCGACATATACAGTAACATCTCCCAGTAACTAGCATTTACTTAATTAATTACAAATACATAATTAATAAATTGATTAATGTTTTCATTTATTAATGGATAGTTAGATATAATAAATAATTGTTGAAAAGTTTCAACTTAATCGAAGAATAATGTATGCAAACATTTTACCAAACAGATTGACATATTTCATTACGATTTTTTGGTATAATCGAACTAATTATATACGCAGTTGTGTGGTGCTCAGCTGATTATAATGTCTGTACAAATATCTACATTTAGGGTTATAAAATCTTTCAAATAGTCTTACTGGACGAGACGGTACAGTTTTATTTTTCTATTTCAATCCAATGTACTTTTACGATGCTACAAAACAACACACCCACACACCGACACAGACGGGAACCAAAGTAGTTCAATTTGTTTCTCAAACTTCAACCATCTGTTCTCTCAGCCTACACACATAGCTGTGTACTGGCAGTTACATTTCAACATTCACAACACGTAACTTCTTATGTGTAACTACACAATAACACACATTAATGTTGATATACTTACTGGTGTGTAACTTAAAATCTATTTATATCCTCAGTCCAAACATGAGCCTTGGCTCCTCAAGCAAACTTTTCTTTACGCATTAACGTATAAACATGACACACAGAAGTCTTTCCTGTGTTCTGACGGTACAGTCAGGGGTGCAACAAAATTTTTCTAAGAAAAAAAAACTACTCTCTGGCTGGAAATTTCAATGTCACAGAAGAAGGTTCTCAAAAAGTATTAAGAGGCGGGATAAATATATGTCGTAACTTTGGACAGGTTGAACTCTTCAGATAACTTAAAAGCTTATTCAATTTCAAATACCATTGGAATCCCACAAAACTTGACATTCTGAGTTGATTTTTACAAAGCTAATATCAAGTCACTCTGTCTGTCTGTCCGGTAAAAAGTGTGTACACGTTATTTCTCCGACACCCATTCTCGGATCAAGCTGAAACTTCGCACAATTATTCATTGACATATGCAAGATATAAATCAATAAAAAAAATTAACCTATTAGGCGGGGGGGGGGGGGCGGGGGGGGGAGGGGGGGGGGCGGGGGGGGGAGGGGGAGGAATTCATTGACTGATTTTTTGCTTTTATGTTGTTTATTTTAAGTGAGATTTTAATACTAAATCATCACTTACCACAGCACAACCAAAGGGGTTTTGAGTTTAAAAAACCCAACCAGGGGGTTTTGAGTTAAAAAAAACCCTATTAGGGGTTCTGAGATGAAAATCCCTCTACCAGGGGGTTTTGAGTTTTAAACCCCCTACCAGGGGTTTTACAGTTATAGCCCCCTCTTCAATAAACAAAACTAAAAAAATGCAAACGACAATCCCCAAATTCCAAGAAAACAGCTAAGGAAGATTTTGACTTTAAAACCCCTCCAAAAATTACGATAAACACCCTCTCAATATAAAAAAAAGCAAATTAATTACACATTCAAAATTCTATGAGCCAAAGGGATTTTGAGTTTAACCCTCCCCCCTCCAGTTGGGGTTTGAAGCTAAAAAATACCTCTTCAATATAAAAAAAAGTAAATTACACTAAAATTCTTTGAGCGAAGCTAAGCTAATGAGGGTTTTTGAGTTTAAATCCCCCTCCTCCAGATGGCTTTTTTTTAATTTATTTAAAACCCCTTCAGGTGGTTTTGAGTTTAAAATTCCCCTACAGAGCGTTTTGAGTTGAGAACCTCTCTCTTCAATATTTTTTAAAAGCAAACTAGAGTCACCAAATTCTATTACCGTAGCTAAATAGGGTTTGAATTAAAAAAAACACAAAAAAACTTTTTTAGTTTAAAACCCCTCAACAGATGATTTTGACGATAAAACGTCCCTTTTCGATATAAAATCTAAAGCGAAATACATGCATGTAATTCCAAGAGCGTAATCAAGAGAAGTTACACATTTCTACCAGTGGATGGGCTCCATTAATAAAGTGTGAATAGTCATCTGCCAAAATTGAAAAACACTAAATGTGGCTCAACAAAGATGGCTAAGACGGATTTTAGGAGTCAGTTATAGAGATCGGGTCTAAATCAAGAAAATCCTATACCGAACTTGGAGTCGACCCCTTAGTAAGATTGTGACAGAGCGTCTCATGTGGTTTGCGGGACATGTTCTCCGACAAAATGAATTAGGCATAAGAGTTGCGATGACATCCTAGTACAATTTGGCGCCACACATTCATGGAGGTCTAAGAGCAGGTGGGAAGAGGCTTCAGACATTACCAGTGACAGGTTTTTGTGGAAACAGCTTGACGGCAAATGCGCCGAACGGCGCGGGAGGGTCTAAGTCAGTAAGAATAGCACATTAGGTTTTTGAAATAAAACTTTTTAATAGCAGGAAAATGCACTATAGATATCTCAGAATATGCATTTTGTTGGCTTTCAATACCAGAAATAGTGTTTGGCGGAGGGGCTTCGCCTCGCGCTGGAGAAGCTCGTTGTGCTTCCCCAGACTCCCTTGCTAGCAAGGGCTGGGAGTCTACAAGTTTTCCACTTATTCCAGGAAGAACCTATTCTAGGGCACAATAAACGTTTTCCAAAAGGGTCAGCATGTAATAAAGATTAATTATGTACACACACACACATATATAATTTTTTCCCCTCCCCAAAACCCTCCCCGAAAAAAATCCTGGCTACGCCCATGGCACAAACTATAAGACAAATTTCCATTCGGACAATAAAGATTATTATTATTATTATTATTATTATTATTTATTCAATACTATGAAGAACTGTGTTGAGTGTTGGATATGCTTGATACAAGTTGGCAAGTGTAACAACTAGTGTAGCTCGATCTCGATCTTCGACTGAGAAAAACCGTTTGTTTGTTTGGTGGGGTTGTCTTAAAGAATACCCTAACCATAAACTCTAAACAGAAAAGTTGGCACAAAGCTGCATAAGATAACAGTGTAATAACTTATACAAACCAACCTAAGGAGGCAGGGATGTTTATTTACAGGAAGACATGACAAACACATAGGACATCTGCCTTGAGCACAATCTCTTTACTCCGGCTTTAGATTTGGGAAGAAATCATTCTTCTCTGAATGTAAACATTCTTCCTAGTCTGGTTTCTAGAAGTGCGCACCTTCTGCACTATCTTGAACTGCGGCGGTGCGCATGGCAGAGTTATTACAATATTAATGACACATGCAATATTGCGACCAAAGTTATCAGAGCTAGGCTTCTTCACCACAGGCGGTTCCGACAAGTGCTTGAAGATTTAGAAATAAAATATTTCAATGTATCCGTATGCTTAGCATGGACAAGATAATGGGAAGAATATAACATCTCAATCTTTATGTTCCTTGAAGGACATTGACTGTGGCTTTGTTACAAATATTTCTAATGAAGAGTCTAAGACAGATTTCTTGTTCTTCATAGAGAGTATTGCAATGAGTTACTTGCATATGTAATGTAAATGTTAAATCTTTCCAATTTCTCTAGGCAAGCAAAGCGATAACAGGTTTTGTCATCTCCTTTGCTGAAAGGGGAAATGGTTAGGCTATTCTAGATTCCTTAATTATGAAACTTATAAAAAACTAATTTTAAGACGCCAAGAACCAGTTTTTAAATAACATCAGCTCACCATTTAGTGCAGATACGGATTATACTCCAAAGAACATAACTAAATGCAAATTATGACCTGAAAGAGAAGTTTCAGTCAGTTCTTCCTCGGGAGTTTAATGGGTGCCAGAGGCTGTATTTCCACACTGGTCGTGCGGTTTGCACGCTGGACTGTCGTTCAGATTTATCGATGGTCCCGGGTTCAAACCCTGCCCGCTCCCATCCCCCGTCGTCCTGCGGGAGGTTTGGACTAGGAAGTAATTATCTTCAACTTTGAAGGAACATCCGAAACATGTAAAACATTTTACAAACAAACAAAACACTTTAAAAAACTTTGCTACTAAACTTTCGCAGGGGGGGGGGGGGTGTTAAGCATACATATATGCGGCCCTCCATCCCCCCAAATTTTTTAAATGCGG